GTCAGACCAATCCTGGAGTATGCGGCTCCAGCATGGAGTCCATATCTAGTCAAGCATAAGACTAAACTGGAAAATGTTCAAAGGTTTGCCACCAGACTAGTACCCGAGCTACGAGGAGAGACTACGGGAATTGAACCTCACTTCGTTGGAAGACATTAGAGTTAGGGGGGACATGATCACCACATTCAAGATTCTCAAGGGAATCGACAGGGTTGATAAAGTCAGGCTATTTAACACAAGGGGCACACGCACTAGGGGACACAGGTGGAAACTGAGTGCCCAAATGAGCCACAGAGATATTAGAAAGAACTTTTTCAGTGTCAGAGTGGTTGACAAATGGAATGCATTAGGAAGCAATGTGGTGGAGGCTGACTCCATACACCGTTTCAAGTGTAGATATGATAGAGCCCAGTAGGCTCAGGAACCTGTACACCTGTTGATTGACGGTTGAGAGGCGGGACCAAAGAGCCAGAGCTCAACCCCCGCAAGCACAAGTAGGTGAGTACAACTACACACACACACACACACACACACACACACACACACACACACACACACACACACACACACACACACACACACACACACACACACACACACACACACACACACACACACACACACACACACACACACACACACACACACACACACACACACACACACACACACACACACACACACACACACACACACACACACACACACACACACACACACACACACAGAACATGAAACAAGAAAAATTTTGAAGGAATAAAAATAAAACTTTGTTTCGTCCACAGAATAGAACGGAAGGGGCAGGATGGGGTCGGGTGGGGGTGGGGGGGGGGGGGAGGGGGGACAGAATGAATCGACTTAGCGTACTAGTGAGGAAGGGTGAGTGTGGGTGTTGGAGGTGGTGTCAGAGACTCTTATCCGCATGCGATCACAGTTATGGCAGGGATGAGTAACTGGTGAGTGTACTCAACCTAAAGTTGTGCTTGCGGAGGTTGAGCTTCGGCTCCTTGGTCCCGCGCCTCAACTGTCAATCAACTGGTGTTGATTGACTGGGCCTACTGGGGTCTATTGCTGGTGCTGTACCTGTATTGGCACCCGGGTATACGACATACGGACTTCACACTATATATATATATATATATATATATATATATATATATATATATATATATATATATATATATATATATATATATATATATATATATATATATATATATATATATATATAACACTTATGGGAGCCGGTCGGCCGAGCGGACAGCATGCTGGACTTGTGATCCTGTGGTCCTGGGTTCGATCCCAGGCGCCGGCGAGAAACAATGGGCAGAATTTCTTTCATCCTATGCCCCGGTTACCTAGCAGTAAAATAGGTACCTGGGTGTTAGTCAGCTGTCACGGGCTGCTTCCTGGGGGTGGAGGCCTGGTCGAGGACCGGGCCGCGGGGACACTAAAAAGCCCCGAAATCATCTCAAGATAACCTCAAGATAAGATAACCCGTGCAACAATGCAGCAGCATCACTGAGGGCATCTTCTGCGATGAGTCGGTAGCAGCTTCCAGGAAAGGAACCACCCGCCGTTCCTTATTCATTTATACGTGCCACCAGCTCCTTGCGAGACGTCCCGCACCCGCGGTGGCCTGGGCTCCCTCCTTGAGACTCTGGTATTGTGCGTTCCTGTGCATGTTTATGGGGAAAATATCCCAGTACATGGAGCAATGACCCTATTGTGTGTCTGTGAGAAGGTGTTCCTACAGGAAGTGAGGAGATGTCCCCACAGGAAGTGAGATGTGCCCACAGGAAGTGAGGAGATGTGCCCACAGGAAGTGAGGAGATGTGCCCACAGGAAGTGAGGAGATGTCCCCCACAGGAAGTGAGGAGATGTGCCCACAGGAAGTGAGGAGATGTGCCCACAGGAAGTGAGGAGATGTGCCCACAGGAAGTGAGGAGATGTGCCCACAGGAAGTGAGGAGATGTCCCCACAGGAAGTGAGGAGATGTGCCCACAGGAAGTAAGGAAGTGCCCACAGGAAGTAAGGAGATGTGCCCACAGGAAGTCCCCACAGGAAGTGAGGAGATGTGCCCACAGGAAGTGAGGAGATGTCCCCACAGGAAGTGAGGAGATGTGCCCACAGGAAGTAAGGAGATGTGCCCACATGAAGTGAGGAGATGTGCCCACAGGAAGTGAGGAGATGTGCCCACAGGAAGTGAGGAGATGTCCCCACAGGAAGTGTGGAGATGTGCCCACAGGAAGTGAGGAGATGTGCCCACAGGAAGTGAGGAGATGTCCCCACAGGAAGTGAGGAGATGTCCCCACAGGAAGTGAGGAGATGTGCCCACAGGAAGTGAGGAGATGTGCCCACAGGAAGTGAGGAGATGTCCCCACAGGAAGTGAGGAGATGTCCCCCACAGGAAGTAGGACGGAGCCTCTCTTTGGGTCTGTGGGAATAGGTACTGTGGCGTAGCACCCCGGGGCTCACCCCAGCCCCCAGGAGGTCAAGGCTGCCACAGGTGCGTGTCGAGCTGGTCATCCTTGTCAACGCACAGCCACAGGGGCCCGTGGCTGAATGGACAGCGGTTGGGACTCGTAATCCCAGGGGGTCCGGGTTCGATACCGACTGCCGGCGGAAACAGATAGGCAGAGTTTCTTTCACCCCTGATGCCACTGTTACGTAGCAGTAAATAGGTACCTGGGAGTTAGCCAGCTGTCACGGGCTGCTTCCTGGGGGAGGGGTGAAAAAAAATTAGTTAGTAGGTAGTAACAGTTGATTGATTGACAGTTGAGAGGCGGGCCGAAAGAGCAGAGCTCAACCCCTGCAAGCACAACTAGGTGAATACACACACACACACACACACACACACACACACACACACACACACACACACACACACACACACACACACACACACACACACACACACACACACACACACACACACACACACACACACACACACACACACACACACACACACGTGTGTGACGTCATAGTCGTGTCACGACCATCCTATGCTTGCAAACGGAGGGAGTGATGACATCACCCCTGCACAGACGCACCCTGACGGCAGTTCAGTCAGTCTTTAGGACTAATTGAGGGGGGGAAAGGAACGGTGCCCAACCGCCCTGTTCATTGGGGTATCGAACGCCAAGCCTGCAAGAAGAGAGGTTATGGTGGGTCAGAGGGGGGGGGGTGGAGTCCATCTGGAATACCCATTAGCGATAACCATCTTTCCAGGTCCTTGGGTTGAGCCCTTTCCCTTCGCACAAACTTCTGCCACACTGGGAACCAGTACCGACCTTCCATGGGGTTAAGGTCCTCGACCTCTAGTACCATCTTGACGTATACAACAGAGGTCATCCCAGCACTGACCTTCGTGACGCACTAACGGAAGCCACCAGAGCCGCTTCTAACCTCAGTCTGGACACGATCAGCGTCGCCAGTAGGCGCCACCATCTGGTAACTGAAGGCAAGGTATTATCAGTCTTATACGGGCTTCACTAAGGGTCCAGGGGGCCAGATTCACCAAGCAGTTACGCAAGTTCTTACGAACGTGTACATCTTTCGTCAATCTTTGACGGCTTTGGTTACATTTATTAAACAGTTGACAAGCATGAAAACTTCACAATCAACTGTTGTTATTGTTATATGTTAACAGCCTCCTGGTGCTTCGGAGCTCATAAACTGTTGAACAATTGTAAACAAAGTCGCCAAAGATTGAGAAAAGATGGACAGGTTCGTAAGTACTGGCGTAACTGCTTCGTGAATCTGGCCCCAGATGGGTGCTCCTTACCCTCCACAAGACCAGCCCTTCGCGCCACTTGCCACTTACCAAAACAAAACAACAAAAATGGAGCTGTTTTGCCTAGCTATTAACGAACGCAAACAACCCTCCTATAACCTATCGCGGCCGATGCATCGAAAACGTCGATACTACGGTGCTTCCCGCCAAACACACACCGAATGTACGACGTTGGTACAACGTTCGAACAAGATTTTTACACCTAACCAGTTATAACAACCAATATAGCAAGTTGTAACAACGTTCTAATACGTCATAAACACCTTTAAGCCAACATGTAGCAAGTTTATTACAAGTTGTAACAAGCGGAAAATAGAGACAGTTTCGGTTTGTGTTTCCAGGGTTTAATTTATACTAACACGTCGCATTTTTAACGGATTGGTCGATTTTGTAAACAAAATAAAAGGGAGGAGTATTATTAGGCGAGAGAACATACTGCCTAGTTACAGGTTCCCTTTGACTCTCAAGAGAACAGTTTGGAAGATATAACTATTGGTAATAGGTAAATACATATTCTATTAATTTACTACTATTTTTTCACTGTAAAAGGGGATTTTTTTTTTTTTTTTTTTTTTTTTTTTTTTTTTTTTTTTTTTTTTTTTTTTTTTTTTAAGACTCAGAGTCTGTATTTAACCTCCCGCCCCCCACCCCATGAGGAGCAGGTCGGCCGAACGGACAGCAAGCTGGGCATGTGATCCTGTCGTCCCGGGTTCGATCCTGGGCGCCGGCGAGAAACAATGGGCAGAGTTTATTTCACCCTATGGCCCGTGTTAACTAGCAGTAAAATAGGTACCTGGGAGTTAGTCAGCTGTCACGGGCTGCTTCCTTGGGGGCGGAGGCCTGGTCGAAGACCGGGCCGCGGGGAACACTAAAAGCCCCGAAATCATCTCAAGATAACCCCCCCCCCCATTTCTCTTGGAAGAAAGGTCTTCCTAATCTAAATGATTTGTTTAAATATTTGCTAATTTTTAATGTTCACCCCAGCGCGGTGGACAGCGGCCTCCACCCGCGGTGGACAGCGGCCTCCACCCGCGGTGGACAGCGGCCTCCACCCGCGGTGGACAGCGGCCTCCACCCGCGGTGGACAGCGGCCTCCACCCGCGGTGGACAGCGGCCTCCACCGCGCTGTGGGTTATGCAGTAAATAGGTACTTGGGAGTTAGACAGCTGTTACGTGCTGCTTCTTGGGTGCTGGAAGAAAAAAAAAAAGAGAAAAAGTGAGTAACAGTTGAGAGTCAGGCCAAAAGAGAATACTTGACGTAGCGCAGCATAGGGAAACGATTTTTGAATTGAACATCTTACAACGTGCGCAGCCCCCAGAAATGTCCTGCACTCCCCGTCAGCGCAGCTTCACGAATCCTCCTGCAGTAGTCGACAGGTCTTCCTCTTCTATGTGGAGCGGTGATCGGAGGTGTTGTGGGGCGGTGATGGGGGGTGTTGTGGAGCGGTGATTGGAGGTGTTGTGGGGCGGTGATGGGAGGTATTGTGGGGTGGTGTTGTGGGGTGGTGATCGGAGGTGTTGTGGGGGTGGTGGTAGTTATGGGTAGTGTTGTGATACACTCCGACTCAGACTCAAGTGTCCCTTGAGTGTGTGATAGTGGGATAGGTCAGGTTAGGCCTCCACCCGCGGTAGACAGCAGCCTCCACCCACGGTAGACAGCAGCCTCCACCCGCGGTAGACAGCAGCCCCCACCCGCGGTAGACAGCAGCCTCCACCCACGGTAGACAGCGGCCTCCACCCACGGTAGACAGCAGCCTCCACCCACGGTAGACAGCAGCTTCCACCCGCGGTAGACAGCAGCCTCCACCCACGGTAGACAGCAGCTTCCACCCGCGGTAGACAGCAGGTTCCACCCGCGGTAGACAGCAGCTTCCACCCGCGGTAGACAGCAGCCTCCACCCACGGTAGACAGCAGCCTCCACCCACGGTAGACAGCAGCTTCCACCCGCGGTAGACAGCAGCTTCCACCCGCGGTAGACAGCAGCCTCCACCCGCGGTAGACAGCAGCCTCCACCCACGGTAGACAGCAGCCTCCACCCACGATAGACAGCAGCTTCCACCCACGGTAGACAGCAGCCTCCACCCACGGTAGACAGCAGCCTCCACCCACGGTAGACAGCAGCCTCCACCCACGGTAGACAGCAGCTTCCACCCACGGTAGACAGCAGCTTCCACCCGCGGTAGACAGCAGCCTCCACCCGGGGTAGACAGCAGCCTCCACCCACGGTAGACAGCAGCCTCCACCCACGGTAGACAGCAGCCTCCACCCACGGTAGACAGCAGCTTCCACCCGCGGTGGACAGAGGCCTAACCTGACCGATCCCTCTATCACACGCTCAAGGGACACTTGAGTCTGACTCGGAGTGTATCACAACACTACCCATAACTATAACCGACCCACAACACTCCCAGTCATCCCCCCCCCCCCAATGTGTGATGATCGGGGGTGCCCGATCACCACACACCCCCATGATTGGGTGTGTGGTGATCTCCACCCGGCGGTGGCACCACCCGCCCAACCCGGCAGTGGTTAGGTAAACTTCCTTAGAGAGGAAGTTCTACTGCCCTTCCTTAGGGCGGTGGAGGTGGAATCTCCGCGGTATCTGGGTAAGTTACCTCACATTTGCTGTTTGGCCTCGAACAGAATGAGGGAGGGAGGAGAGCAGTGGAGGAGTCTGCAGCCACCTCCACTACTATGCCTCCTCTCTCACTCCATACGAGGTCAAACAGGTCAAGGGTGAGAGGTCTTAAAGGGGTCAACATGGCGGTCCCGCCACCCGCCCAACCTGGCTCCTCAGGTCAGTTCAGTTGCAGGTGTTTTCAGCCTGCCGTGGTCGTCTTAATGGTGGGGGTGGGCTTGGCTCGTGTAATGTTTTACACAATTTTCGTGCCAATTTGTCCATGGGTGGACGGTGTTTTGGATTATCTTCCAGTAGACTATTCGAAATAAGCTCCAGTTCTTTTGGAAGATCCTTACGCGCCTTGATCAGGTTTTGTAAGTTTTTGCCGAACGCGTAGACGTCCTGTGAGGAGTGGGCGGCAAAGGAGTCGAATAAGGTTTCTGCCGCGAAGTGACTCTGGCTGGGGTTTTTGGGGCATTTGGATCCTTTATGCGCCGCCATGGTGAAGTCAACGATGTAGACCTTTCGGTCATGTTTTAGATCGACCATCATATTTTCAAGAGTCACGTTTCCATGGACAAAGCCTTTTTCGTGGATTTTTGCAAACGCCTCAGCTGCAGCCTGGAGTGCCGAGACTGCATCCCTACACGAGCAAATCTCAAGGAACTCTAAGAGACTGAGGTCGCCGACTCCCGTCATTACTAAGACGGGTGGGTTTACACAGCAGCCTAGCACATGGGGGGTGACCCCAGTGTCCTTGAGGGCGTCGAGAGTCACAAATTCGTTGATGAATAAGTCCATCATTCGACTTATACTACCCTGGGTAGGTAGAGCAGTTTTATAGTAAAGATTTTGGCCGCCGTACGAGGCCAGGAACTCGGTCGTGTTTACTCCCTTGAAATGATTAAAAATTACGCTCTTAGATAACAACTTTACCCATGTCTTGTGAGGGAATATCCTTTTGTCATTTTTTGCGTGTACTACTTTTGTCGTGATATCCAATTTTAGAAAGTCGAAATCGTTGTCTGAACTGTCCACTGGCGGCTGGGCAGCGCCAGTCTCCTGGCCTGACCCGGAAGTGCCAGTCTCCTGACCTGGCTCAGTAGTGCTAGTCTCCTGGCCTGGCTCGGTAGTGCCTGTCTCCTGGCCTGGCTCGGTCGTGCCAGACCAGGAGGTGTTTCCGGCCTCCTGTGATCGTCGTGATGTTGGGGGTGGGCTTGGCGTGTCACAATGTTTTGTTTTTCTATTAGATGTTGGGTTAGTGGAGCTAGTGTGAGTGGGATGTGAACCCGCATGCTCTTCCTTTGGCGCTATTTCGGTAAGCTCTGCCATACCTAGATATTTTGGTGTGGTCAGATGATCTGGTCGGGCTAAACATTCTTTTAATGTTTTACACAATTTTCGTGCCAATTTGTCCATGGGTGGACGGTGTTTTGGATTATCTTCCAGTAGACGATACGGAATAAGCTCCAGTTCTTTTGGAAGATCCTTACGCGCCTTGATCAGATTTTGTAAGTTTTTGCCGAACGCGTAGACATCCTGTGAGGAGTGGGCGGCAAAGGAGTCGAATAAGGTTTCTGCCGCGAAGTGACTCTGGCTGGGGTTTTTGGGGCGTTCGGATCCTTCAGGCGCCGCCATGGTGAAGTCAACGATGTAGACCTTTTGGTCATGTTTTAGATCGACCATCATATTTTCAAGAGTCACGTTTCCATGGACAAAGCCTTTTTCGTGGATTTTTGCAAACGCCTCAGCTGCAGCCTGGAGTGCCGAGACTGCCTCCCAACAGGAGCAAATCTCAAGGAACTCTAAGAGACTGAGGTCGCCGACTCCCGTCATTACTAAGGTGGGTGGGGATATACAGCAACCTAGCACACGTGGGGTGACCCCAGTGTCCTTGAGGGCGTCGAGAGTCACAAATTCGTTGAGGAATGAGTCGATCAGTTGTTCATCACTAGCAGTTTTATAGTAAAGATTTTGGCCGCCGTACCAGGCCAGGAACTCCGTCGTCTTTACTCCCTTGAATTGATGAAAAATTACGCTCTTAGATAACAACTTTATCCATGTGTTGTGAGGGAATATCCTTTTGTCCCTTTTTGCGTGTACTACTTTTGTCGTGATATCCAATTTTACAAAGTCGATATCGTTGTCTGAACTGTCTCCTGTCTCCTGGCCTGGCTCGGTCGTGCCAGACCAGGAGGTGTTTCCGGCCTCCCGTGATCGTCGTGATGTTGGGGGTGGGCTTGGCGTGTCACAATGTTTTGTTTTTCTATTAGATGTTGGGTTAGTGGAGCTAGTGTGAGTGGGATGTGAACCCGCATGCTCTTCCTTTGGCGCTATTTCGGTAAGCTCTGCCATACCTAGATATTTTGGTGTGGTCAGATGATCTGGTCGGGCTAAACATTCTTTTAATGTTTTACACAATTTTCGTGCCAATTTGTCCATGGGTGGACGGTGTTTTGGATTATCTTCCAGTAGACGATAAGGAATAAGCTCGAATTCTTTTGGAAGATCCTTACGCGCCTTGATCAGATTTTGTAAGTTTTTGCCGAACGCGTAGACGTCCTGTGAGGAGTGGGCGGCAAAGGAGTCGAATAAGGTTTCTGCCGCGAAGTGACTCTGGCTGGGGTTTTTGGGGCGTTCGGATCCTTCAGGCGCCGCCATGGTGAAGTCAACGATGTAGACCTTTTGGTCATGTTTTAGATCGACCATCATATTTTCAAGAGTCACGTTTCCATGGACAAAGCCTTTTGCATGGATTTTTGCAAACGCCTCAGCTGCAGCCTGGAGTGCCGAGACTGCCTCCCAACAGGAGCAAATCTCAAGGAACTCTAAGAGACTGAGGTCGCCGACTCCCGTCATTACTAAGACGGGTGGGGTTATACAGCAGCCTAGCACACGTGGGGTGACCCCAGTGTCCTTGAGGGCGTCGAGAGTCACAAATTCGTTGAGGAATGAGTCGATCAGTTGTTCATCACTAGCAGTTTTATAGTAAAGATTTTGGCCGCCGTACCAGGCCAGGAACTCCGTCGTCTTTACTCCCTTGAATTGATGAAAAATTACGCTCTTAGATAACAACTTTACCCATGTGTTGTGAGGGAATATCCTTTTGTCCCTTTTTGCGTGTACTACTTTTGTCGTGATATCCAATTTTACAAAGTCGATATCGTTGTCTGAACTGACCACTGGCGGCGGGGCAGCACCAGTCTCCTGGCCTGACCCGGAAGTGCCAGTCTCCTGACCTGGCTTGGTAGTGCCGGTCTCCTGGCCTGGCTCAGTAGTGCTAGTCTCCTGGCCTGGCTCGGTAGTGCCTGTCTCCTGGCCTGGGTCGATAGTACCAGTGTCCTGGGCATGGTGAGCCTCTTTGGCAAGGTCCTGGAGCTGGTCATAGAGGCCGTGGGCCAGGAGATGGCCGAGGAGACCCCACTGTTTGGGCACTTCCTGGTCTGGGTCAGTAGTGCTAGTCTCCTGGCCTGGGTCGGTAGTGCCAGTGTCCTGGGCATGGTGAGCCTCTTTGGCAAGGTCCTGGAGCTGGTCATAGAGGCCGTGGGCCAGGAGATGGCCGAGGAGACCCCACTGTTTGGGCACTTCCTGGTCTGGGTCAGTAGTGCTAGTCTCCTGGCCTGGGTCGGTAGTGTCAGTGTCCTGGCCTGGGTCGGTAGTGCCAGTGTCCTGGCCTGGGTCCTGGCCTGGGTCGGTGGTGCCAGTGTCCTGGCCTGGGTCGATAGTACCAGTGTCCTGGCCTGGGTCGGTAGTGCCAGTGTCCTGGCCTGGGTCGGTAGTGCCAGTGTCCTGGCCTGGGTTGGTAGTGCCAGTGTCCTGGCCTGGGTCGGTAGTGCCAGTGTCCTGGCCTGGGTCGGTGGTGCCAGTGTCCTGGCCTGGGTCGATAGTGCCAGTGTCCTGGCCTGGGTCGGTAGTGCCAGTGTCCTGGGCTGGGTCGGTAGTGCCAGTGTCCTGGCCTGGGTTGGTAGTGCCAGTGTCCTGGCCTGGGTCGGTGGTGCCAGTGTCCTGGCCTGGGTCGGTGGTGCCAGTGTCCTGGCCTGGGTCGGTGGTGCCAGTGTCCTGGCCTGGGTCGATAGTGCTAGTGTCCTGGCCTGGGTCCTGGCCTGGGTCGGTAGTGCCAGTGTCCTGTCCTGGGTCGGTGGTGCCAGTGTCCTGGCCTGGGTCGGTGGTGCCAGTGTCCTGGCCTGGGTCGGTGGTGCCAGTGTCCTGGCCTGGGTCGGTGGCGCCAGTGTCCTGGCCTGGGTCGGTAGTGCCAGTGTCCTGGCCTGGGTCGGTAGTGCCAGTGTCCTGGCCTGGGTCGGTGGTGCCAGTGTCCTGGCCTGGGTCGGTGGTGCCAGTGTCCTGGCCTGGGTCGGTGGTGCCAGTGTCCTGGCCTGGGTCGGTGGTGCCAGTGTCCTGGCCTGGGTCGGTGGTGCCAGTGTCCTGGCCTGGGTCGGTGGTGCCAGTGTCCTGGCCTGGGTCGGTGGTGCCAGTGTCCTGGCCTGGGTCGGTGGTGCCAGTGTCCTGGCCTGGGTCGGTGGTGCCAGTGTCCTGGCCTGGGTCGGTGGTGCCAGTGTCCTGGCCTGGGTCGGTGGTGCCAGTGTCCTGGCCTGGGTCGGTGGTGCCAGTGTCCTGGCCTGGGTCGGTGGTGCCAGTGTCCTGGCCTGGGTCGGTGGTGCCAGTGTCCTGGCCTGGGTCGGTGGTGCCAGTGTCCTGGCCGGGGTCGGTGGTGCCAGTGTCCTGGCCGGGGTCGGTGGTCCCAGTGTCCTGGCCTGGGTCGGTGGTGCCAGTGTCCTGGCCTGGGTCGGTGGTGCCAATGTCCTGGCCGGGGTCCTGGCCGGGGTCGATAACGCTGACCTCGCTTTCGCCAGAGGACTGCTGGGGCTCCGTGGTGCTGACCTCGTCCAGGTCAGAGGAGTGGTGGGTGCCCTTGGGTCTATCCCAGCCGTGGGTATAGTAGTAGTATAAGAGGCCCATCACGACGAACACCGCCCCTAACCTGAGGCACCAAGGAAGGACCCCAAGGCCCTGTGCCCCACCACCTGCCCCCACGACGCCTGCGTGACCCAGCGCCCCAGCACCGGCCCCCACGACGAACACCGCCCCTAACCCGAGGCACCAAGGAAGGTCCCCAAGGCCCTGTACCCCGCCACCTGCCCCACCGCCTACCCCGCCACCTGCCCCGC